AAGACATACTATTGCCATTTTGTGAATTGTTTTCTGGTTATTTTACAGATCTATTGTTCCCCATTTCTTATCCTACTGTTCTTTTTTGTGTTTTGGTGTCTTTGGTATTGGTATGCTTTGGCTTCTTTATTGTATTCTTTCGTCTAATTACCAGAAAATTTTCCCTTGAGATTATCATGAGTTTTACATAAAATATCAAACTTATCAGATCCTAATTTAAACTGATAACAATTTAACTTTAATAGAATTCATATACTTTACACTTTCCCTTTTTATCCTCCTTACCTTTTACATTATTGCTGTTTCAATTTATATTTTTTAATATTTTGTAACTAATAACATTATACATATTGTATTTATGGGTTTTTTTGCTATGTTCATTTTTTTGACTTTTAAACTAGAGTTGTGAGTTATACACTGCCATTACCAAATTGCAGAATCTAATGATGACTATATATTTACCATTAGAAGTGAGATTTATGTTATCATTTTGTGTTTTTTATGATGTTAATGAGCATTTTTTACTTCTACTCAAAGAACTCCCTTCAGCATTTCTTCTAAGGCAGGTCTGGTGGTAATGAACTCCCTTCCTCAGCTTTTGGTTGTTCAAGAAAGTCTTTATCTCTCCTTCATTTCTGAAGGACACCTTTACCAGCCATTGTATTCTTGGTTGACAGTTTCTTTGATATTACATTATCTCTTTGCCTTAAAAGTTTCTGTTGAGACATCTGTCCATAGTCATATGGGAGCTCCCTTATATGTAATGCCTCTCTTTTCTCTGCTGCTGTTAAAATTCTTTCATCTTTGACTTTTGATGATTTAATTATAATGTATCTTAATGTAGCCCTATTTGGTTTAATCTATTTGTCTTTCAGGCTTCATGGATCTAGATGTCTATTTCTCTCCCCAGGTTCAGGAAGTTTTCAGCCATTATTGTTTTAAATATACTTTCTATCCCTTTCTTTTTCTCTTCTCCTTCTAGAATTCTCATGGAATCTTTATATTGTGTCTCATAATTCCAGTAGGTTTTCTTCACTCTTTTTCACTTTTTTTCATTTTGCTCCTCTCACTGGGTAATGTCTACTGTCTAATTCTTTCTTCCACATGGGTCAAACTTTTCATTTTGTTCATGCATTATTTTCCTAATTTTATTTAGTTGTCTGTCTGTGTTTTCTTGTAGTCCACTAAACTTCCTTAGAGGAGTATTCAAATTGTGTCCCTGACAGTTTATAGATCTCTGTTTCTTTATGGTCAGTTATTGGAGCTTTATCAGTTTCTTTTGGTGGAGTCAGATTTACCTAATTTTTCATGATCTTTGATTCCTTACATTGGTACTGCACATTCAGATAACAGGGAGTCTCTTCCAGATGTATAGATTTTCTTTGGCAGAGACAGTTCTTTACCAGTCAGTTCAGTTGGGTTTCTGTGTGTGTTTGCAGATAATGTCTTTGGGAAGATTGGGCTTGCTACTATGGTCTATTTTTGGATGAGACAACTGTTTGAGCTCTGAGGATGGAGATGCAGGTCTATTTTTGGGTGAGATAACTGTTTGAGCTCTGAGGATGGAGATGCAGGCTTGGTTCCCCTGCTAAGTGAGGATGCAGGATGGACTCCTCAGTTGCCTGAATTTTTTGGTCAGGCTTACTAGATGTTTGGGACTGGGTATTATATTCAATAATAGATGGGACTATAAATTAGCTTCCCTGGACAAGGCCATGTGACTATACAGCTCATTGTTTGGGGGCCCAAAGCAGGCCGTAATATCCATGGAGTTCCCTGATCAGACAACGACACCAGTTTTGTTCTACAGAGGAAGTCAAGGGCTGTGCTCTCTGTCCAAGTGTCATTTGTATATAACACTGTTAATTGGGCTACACAGCTTCCCATGTGCTCTGGTTAGGCTGCCCGGTTACACAGACTGAAGACTAGACAGACTGAAGACTATATTCAGTGATGAGCAGGATTATGAATTAGACTCCCTGCCCTCATGCAGTGGGAGAAGCAGCTCTAAAACTGGAATATATCTTTGTTGTCTTGATTTAAGCTGAACTGCCCCCCAAGGTCATCAGCCAAACAACACCACTGGCTTCGCTCTGCAGACTGTGGGCTATGTCTGCTTTTCTCTTGTGCCTTTCTTGAGTTTTCTGGGCTGCACAGCTTTCAGGTGTCTTACCAACCTTCAGTCAGATGGGACAAAAAGGCACTCTTCACTGTGGGTAGGGTATAGCTCATCTCCCTTGCCTGGTTGGCTACTCCAGGCAACTCTCAATTTCCCGAACAGGCTCTCCGGTTAGAAGGTGCCAGAAGCTACCCTCAGCCTTGGCTAAAAATTAGTCCTCCTGCCTGTGTGTAGCTCAGGAAGCCTTTACACCTGGTATAGGTTTCTCCCACTATCTGAGAGTAGAGTATTCCTGTTAAATCTTTCATAGGCCAAAATAGCATAAAGCTAAGAAGCAATTACTATTAATTTATATGGGAATGTTTCTGAGCTAAAAAAACAACTTCTCTTAGGCTTTTCTGGTACCTTAGGACACATCTTGCTAATCAATGCACAAAATAAATTGAGATAAAGCACCGATGCCCACAGACACACTTCAAAGCTATGGTGGCCTGATGCTGAGATTCTGAGTGTGGTCCCTGGAGAAAGAGCTTGGCAGTGCCACCTACCTGAGGTGGGTGCTGCCTCTATAATGGCTCACCGCAAAACAAACACTGAGCATTATTTTTGCTTTTTGCCCTTTCTCATAAAAGCAAAAATCCTCTTCAGATTTCTTTTGTTCAGTGAAAACATTTTAATGTAGGTCTTTTGTGAAAGTAAAATAGCATAACACAAACTCAAAACTCAATTGGCTTTTTTCTGAGAGTAATCAACTCTATCCACCCATCTCTTGGCTCAAGCCACCATTGGTTCACACAGCTTTCAGGAATGTCACTAGATCTTCTGGTCAGATGGAACCAGAAGACTCTCCCCACAGTGGGTGGGGCTATGTCTCAGTTCTCTTGCCTGGGCTACTCCCAATTTCCCAGTCTTCAGTAAGAAAAGGCCAGGAGCTACTCTTGGCTTTGTGTGGAATTAATCCCCCTGCCTGTGTGTAGCATGGAAGGGCTCATGCCTGGTACTGGCCTTGCTCTGAGGGTGATCTGCTCCGCTCCTCTACCTCTCAGCTCAAGCTCCTCTTGTCCTGTTTCTTATATTTTGCAATTGTCTTTTTATTTATTTATTTATTTATTTATTTATTTATTTATTTATTTGACAGAGAGAGACACAGTGAGAGAGGGAACACAAGCAGGGGGAATGGGAGAGGGAGAAGCAGCCTTCCCACGGAGCAGGGAGCCCGATGCGGGGCTCGATCCCAGGACCCTGGGATCATGACCTGAGCCGAAGGCAGACGCCTAACAAATGAGCCACCCAGGCGCCCCTTTGCAATTGTCTTTATCACTACCCTAACACTGATACAAATATAAGACTCAGTCTTTCTCTTTGGGTTCGATCGCCAAATAAACATAAATACAAAACTGGTGCATATTACTGAACTTTTACTAAAGATTTTCAGTTTAGATTGGGAAGTCATACTGATCCTTTATCCTTCACAGTGCCCATACTCATTATTTTACTGCATCCTCTCTCATTTATTTTCATGCCTTTACCCCTTTATCTCAGAAATTTCAAAGTTTTTTTCTCTACTATGAAGAGTGAATTGACTCTTCACAATCTCCCAAATATGTATATCCAAACCCATCCAAGCATTCCGTAGATGCAGCATGGTTTTATTTTATAGGGTGTGTTCTCACTAGAAGAGAGTGCCTTAGTAGGATGACAAATGGTAACTGTTGTTTCCATTTTGTACTTTCTCCAGTTTTATGGACCTAAAGCCTACCCAGGAACTGTAGAGACTCCAATGAGACCAGGTTAAAAAAAAAAATTCTTGTTCTGTGGGACCTGACTCAAGGTTTATTCCACAATAAGGTCAGGGTCAAAAGGAATGGACATTACAGGCTCCAGTATGGATTTGAGATCATGATTTGACTAAAAGTCTAACTTCATGATTGTTTAAAGGAAGCTTAGTTCTCAGGCTTATGAAATGGCTTTGTTGGGTTATTTCATTGACACATGAAATTCAATATATTCATATTATGCAGGTTAAGAAAAGTAGAAAATTAACACAATGTTATTATAGCCATGATGTATCACACTTCTTAATAACTGATTGCATCCTCTACTAATATTGTGTGAGTGACCTCATCATTAATTCAGTGTTCATCGTTCTTCATTCTTTCTTTCAACCCACTTTGTACTGGCTGTTATGAAATATAAAATTTATATAACATTTTTTTGTTTCAAAAATCCTCATATAATATTTGCTTCAACTCTGTCTTCTTTTGTGCTGGCATCAAAGTATCTACCAACTTAGTGTTTACAAAAGCAAATGGGAATGAGGTAAAAAGGCTTATTAGCTATAGCTATTGGTTTTGAGCTATCTCCAAAAAGATTTCTCAGACAACAAAGTAGTTCCAAAAAATCAAACAAAATATGGCAGCTAAGCTGGTTTTTGGTTTTTGAAAACCAGTATCAACATTCTATTCTGCCATAGAACCAACTAATGACTTAAATAGAGAAATAAAGAAAGAAGATTCATCCCTCTATGTGCCACTATTAGTAAATTCAAATCTTCAGGTCAGCTATAATCTCAGAGCTTTACTAACTTTTTTATGCTAGACACATCTTGAGCCCAGTGTCTGTAAGGTTTATCATATCCAAAGGTAATCAGATCTTTTATTTCAGTTAAGCTTTTTGTTGGTCATGGCAATTCACCCAGTATTCTGGGCAATTTACACTACATTCTGTTTCAATATAGCCATTTGTAAAATAAGGCCTACATTTTTTGTTTATGTACCTCACATGTTAGAATTACTTTTTTTTTTTATTGTAGAGGAATATAGTAATGATGAAGGATCCTTCTGTAACTTGACTCTATGAAAATTTATTTCTCCTTTGACAGATTTATAAAACCTTGGACATTCATGTGACATTGGTTGGCCTTGAAATGTGGACAAATGGAGATAAAATAGACATAGATTCAAATATAGAAAATACCTTACTGCGTTTTTCAACTTGGCAAGAAATAATCCTGAAAAAAAGGAATAATTTTGATCATGTTCTATTACTCAGGTATGTAAGTGCTCTATTTTCCTGCATATTTTAGGTGGACTATAAAAAAGAAAACAAAACAAAACAAATGAACAGCAACAAAATACTTTTTAAAACAGCTGACTTTTGCATAGTACACAGTGACAAAATGTATGTCTAGCTATACATAAAATTTTGAAATGAAATTTTTAATAATCTCTCTTTCTAATAGTGATTGATACTAGAAAGCAGACATATGATATATTTACATTTCTGGTCATGGCTGAAAATGTCATTAGATAAGTAATGTACTTTTAGAATCAATTTACTTATCAGCATCCAGCCCTAACTCCCTTAATTCTTACATGCTATGCCATTCCAAAACTCCCCAAAACCCACCTTTCTGGGAAAGCACCTCATTCTCTGGAAATTTTCCCTCAATGAAGTATCTCTATCCAATGAATAGCACTTCAAGAGCATCTCCTCTACTATTCATTATGGTGGATAACTAATCCGCCGTAGCTTTAATATTCCTAAGTAAATAAAGGTTTGGATTTATCTACAATATTAGGTCATTCCTAAGAAAGTGGAGTGATTTTTTATCATTTTTGTAATTCAAAATAACTACCACACTACTCAGCCTATTAGGAAATGATAAATAATTGTGGAGCTGAACTGACTTTAACCTTGTGTTAATCATAGTTCTGTTATCCTAATTAAAGTATGAAAGCACAACTTTGGAGCAATGGAGTCTTTTAGCAGTTTTTCTGGTGCCCTTAAGGCTACTATGTAACAATCGTACCCACTTTACCTACTTCATCTTCCTATAATAGCAGTGTTTCTTAAGGTCTGCAAACACATCCTACAAATGTGCTTCCTAGCATTATCTAAATGTTCTTTCAGTTTGAACTAGGAACTGTGAACCTTCCAAAGCCTATAGATGGAGATTGGGTCCAGCTCTTTGGCAGATTGATGAGAGTGAACCACATCTCTAAAGTAATATCATTTCTGATTTTCATAACTGGGATGGCCCACAGTTATCTCCGGGGGATAGTTGTACCTGACTTGGACTCAGATATTCATGCACTAGTATGCACCAAAATTATAGAGGTTAAAGTAAAATATCACCATAACCTTCATTGTGCACAAGATTAGCCTCTTTGCCTATACCTTGGACATATATTTTAAAATACTTAATAAATTAGTCTAGAAATATTACACGGCTATAAGCGAAAAACTTTTTACTTTCATGAATGTCCCTTATTCTGAGCAGTAGTTTCTCACAACAATAGTTATGTCTGCAAATAAGGAAATGAGAAAAGTGCTCCTAAATATCTAATTGGACATCATATTTGGGACTTCTTATGTGTTCAGTTTTTGTATGTCTTCTCATCTATATTCACATAGCACTAGAAGTAGTAAGACAATCTATATGGCGTTTTCATGTTGTGATTTTTGTTTTCAAGTAACCATGAGCAAATTCAGAATCCAGATTGTGCTTGCTCTGAGGTTGCATCTCCATAAGTGGTATTTGTCCAAGATCTCCAGAGTCTAGGAAGACCAAAATTCTAAATTCCTCCAAGATACTAGGCAAACACTGAGACAAAAATGTAGGGCATATCAATAGTAAAGAAAGAAATATTTATAATAATTTATAATAAATATTTATTTATTTATAATTATACCTATTTCTATGTATAAATATATTTCAATATATATTAAATATATATTGAATATATATTTATATTCAAAAATATATATTGAATATATATATATTGAATATATATTTATATAATGTATATAATTATATATAAATATATAAATTATAAATTTATATAAATATAGTATATATAAATATATATACAAATTATATATAATTTTAAATATAATAATATATAATTTTATATATAATATTTTATATAATAATATAATAATACAATATAATATATTTTAATATAATTTTTATAATTTTATATAATAATATATATAACATAATATATATTTATATAATATAATATAATATAATTATTAATATGTAATGAATAAATATATTTATATTTATATGTTGTATATATTAATAATATAATAATATAAAAATATTTTATATATGATATATAAAAATAATAAATTTATATATAACATAAATTATATGTAAATATACAATATGTAAAATATATTATATATATAACATATTATATATATTTTATGTGTATATATACACAGAGCAAATATATATATTTGACAGAGCACAAGCAGAGGGAGAGAGAGGGAGAAGCAGGCTCCCTGCTGAGCAAGGACCCAATGTGGGACTCGATCCCAGGACCCTGGGATCGTGACCTGGGCCGAATGCAGCAGCTTAACTGACTGAGCCACCCAGGCGCCCCTATATTTGATATATATTATATATATATTTTATACTGGTATAAAAATAATAATTTTACATATAATAATGCATAAAAATTATAAATTTATAAATAAAATAAATTATATATATATAAAAATATATATAATATATATTATATATATCTAATATATAAAATATATACATAATAATATAATGACAAAAAAATATTTTACATATAGTAATACATAAAAATTATAAATTTATAACATAAATTATATATAAATATAAAATATGTAAAATATGTATATTATTATATACATATAATAATAAAATGATATAAAAATAGAAAATTTATATATAATACATAAAAATTATAAATTTATATATAACATAAACTATATATAAATATAAAATATATAACATATATAAAATATATAAAATATATATATAATATATAATATATAAATTTATATAATTTATATTAATATATAACATAATATATATAAATATATATATAATATATAATATTTATATATATAATTATATATAATATATAATATATTTTTATATATATTATATAATAATATAATATAATGATATAAAAATAATAATTTTACATGTAATAATACATAAAAATTATAAATTTATATATAAAATAAATTATATATAAATATAAAATATGTAAAAAATATATAATATATATATAAAATATATATATATTATATATATATTTCTTAAAGATTTTATTTATTTGACAGAGAGCACAAGCAAAGGGATAGAGAGGGAGAAACAGGCTCCCTGCTGAGCAAGGAGCCCGATGTGGGACTCGATCCCAGGACCCTGGGATCGTGACCTGTGCCGAAGGCAGTAGCTTAACCGACTGAGCCACCCAGAAGCCCCTATATTTTATATATATTATATATATATATTTTATATATATTTATATATAATAATTTAATGATATAAAAATAATAATTTTCCATATATTACATAAAAATAATAAATTTATATATAGCATAAATTATATATAAATATAAAATATATATAATAAATATATATTTTATATATATTATATATATTTTATATATAATATATATTATATATAAATTAATATAATGATATAAAAATAGTTTTACATTTAATACATAAAAACAATAAATTTATATATAACATAAATTATATATAAATATAAAATATATAACATATAAAAATATATATAATATAATATAATAATATAAAAATAATAATTTTACATATAATAATACACAAAAATTAGAAATTTATAGATAACATAAATTATATATAAATATATATAGTTATATATAATATAATGATATAAAAACAATTTTACATATAATAATACATAAAGTAATAAATTTGTATTTAACATAAATTATATATAAATATATATTTATAATATATGAAATATATTACATATAAAATAAATATATATTTATATATAATAATATATGATATAAAAATAATAATTTACATATAATAACACATAAAATTATAAATTTATATATTACATAAATTATATATAAATATGAAATATATAACATATATAAATATATAATATATATTACATATAATATATAAATTTATATAATTTATATTAATATATATAATACTGTATATAACATATATAAAATATATATAAATATAAAAATATGTATATATGTTGTATATAATACAATATAATATAAAAATAATAATTTTACATATAATAATACATAAAAATTATAAATTTATATATAACAAATTATATATAAATATAAAATATGTAAAATATATATTATATATAAAATATATATATATTATATAAATATTATATATAATAATATAATATAATGATATAATAATAATTTTACATAAATAATACATAAAAATTATAAATTTATATATAACATAAACTATATATAAAGATAAAATATGTAAAATATATATATTATATAAAATATATATAATTTATATTTATATCATATATATACTATATATATTTTATATATATTTATATATATAATCATATAATGATATAAAAATAATAATTTTACATGTAATAATACATAAAAATTATAAATTTATATATAAAATAAATTATATATAATATAAAATATATAAAATATATATAATATATATAATATAAATATATTTATATATAATATATAAATTATATATAATAATAGAATATAATGATATAAAAATAATTTTACATATAATACATAAAAATTATAAATGTATATATAACATAAATTATAAATATATAATATGTGAAATATATATTATATATATTTTATATATATTATATATTTTATATATAATAATATAATATAATGATATAGAAATAGTAATTTTAAATAAATAATACATTAGAATTATAAATTTCTATATAACATAAACTATATATTAAGATAAAATATGTAAAATATATACATTATATATTTTTTATATATATTATGTGTATATTATATATAATAATATAATGATATAAAAATAATTTTACATATAATACATAAAATAATAAATTTATATATAACATAAGTTATATATTAATATAAAATATATAACATATAAAAATATATATAAATATATATAATAATATAATATAATGATAGAAAATAATAATTTTACATATAATAATACATAAAAATTATAAATTTATAGATAACATAAATTATATATAAATATATATAATAATATAATGATATCAAAAATAATTTTACATATAATACATAAAAATAATAAATTTATATTTAACATAAATTATATATTAATATAAAATATATAATATATAAAATATATTACATATAAAATATATATAAATATATAATAATATAAAATGATATAAAATAATTTTACATATAATAATATATAAAAATTATAAATTTATATATATTATAAATTATATATAAATATATAAATATATAATATATAATATAAATTATATTTATAATTTTAATATATATTATATATATTATTATTTATATTAAATATATATTAAATTATTAATTATATTTATAATTTACATATATATGTTATTACATAATTAATATATTTAAATATATATTTGTATATATTTAATATATAATATATAGAAAATATTTTTAATATAATATATGTAATTTATATATAAATATAATTATATTTATAACATAATTATAAAAAAATTCTTTTTTTTCATTATTATGTTATGTTAATCACCATACCTTACATCATTAGGTTTTGATATAGTCTTCCATGATTCATTGTTTGCATATAACACCCAGTGCTCCGAGCAGAACGTGACCTCCTTCATACCCATCATATATATATCATCTCTCATGTTTCATCTCCCCCTCCGATTCCCGCCCTTCGTTCTTTCCCTCCTGCTATCTTCTTCTTCTTTTTTTAACATATAATGTATTATGTTATATATAATATTATATTATATATAATATATAATATTATGTATTACTTGTTTCAGATGTACAGGTCTGTGATTCAACAGTCTTGCACAATTCACATTAGGGAGAGCATGTCTTCTTGATTAAAAAAGTTAAAGACTGAAAGGGGTCATGTAGCCTGACCACCTTTCTCATATTTGAATCTTCTTAATATATTCCAAGTGTGGTCTTCCAGCTTGATGAGGCAACAGAAAGAAGGGAAACTGAGGACAGAGCAGAAGCTAACACCCCACAATCTCCCCGTGGGATATATGTGACATTCCTCAGGCATTCCTGGCTGCCCTGAAGGGAAAACAAATAGTTAACTTATAGAGATCACAATCCTACAAGACATGAGTCTCCCTCAGTTTACAAATGTCTTAGCAATCTACAAGAACAAAGTATTCCTATCCATCAATAACCTAACTTCCAGAAGGAAATGTAGATACAATTAAATGCCCTTACAACCTGCAGCCCATTGACAGATAATTGAAGTGGGCAGAGTGTAATGTTCCTCAAGGAAGTTCCCAACTATCTTAATGTTAATGCCTTACTAGTGGGGTAAGCAACCTTAACTTGACAATGGCAAGACCTCCAGTATCTTGTGAGTCTTCTTTAGCATATGAAAGTTCTTTGAGAAATCTCCTTTTTTCCTTACCTCCCCCAACCCCATAGTATATAATTAGTTACCGCTCACAACCCCCGGGCAGCAGAACTTTCTGCCCACGGGTCCTGTCCCTGTGCTTTAATAAACCACCATTTTGCACGGAAGACATCTCAAGAATTCTCTTAATCCCTGGCTCTGGACTCCACCCCATTGAACTCATCTATATCCCAAGACCCCATCAAGCTCATGATTGCTCTTTAAAGTGGTCCAACTCTAAATGTTCTTGAGAACATGTCAAGTCTGGATTTCCTTCATATACACGTCTACATCTGTCTTTTTAGGTAATCCAAGAATAGTTCACACGACAACTCTTTTAAATGTTTGATTATAGTTATCTAATCCTCTATGAGTTTCTATGGTTGATTAAAATTTTCTAAAAATTTTCAACTATAGCTAATTAATTAATCATGATATTGAGTCTATTTACTTATGTTGTATTTTTCCCTCCAAACACTTTTTAACTTAAGTTTTGGTCTTTTAAGTGGTTTATCCAAAGCTGAGTGTAGAGTAAGCCATGTAAAATTAGACTCTCACATTATTTTTTTGAAAGTACTTTTTTTAGGATTTCAAGTTTAGATCATACTGATTTTTTCAATACCTCTAATATAACACAAATTTTAAATGAGCTTAATAAAAAACTAAGATCATCCTCAATTCTAGAACTCCACAAAAAAAGACACTTTTATGTGCAAAGTCACTAGCATTGTGAGTATTCACTGCAATTCAATCTTTGTGTTAATTAAACCACTGCCTCAGACTGAAGAGTGTATTTGCATCTTGTTTATAGTGGGAAGTGGCTCTATACACATGCACAAGGAACTTCTTATTCAGAGGGCATATGCCGGCCTTATTATTCCTCCAGTGTTGTTAAGGTAGGCTGTGTTTTATTTGTTATGTAACTTAATCACAAAGTTTGAATTTAATTTTTATAAATTTTCTGTGTCCTATTGAAAGGGACCAGGGGCACCTGGGTGGCTCAGTTGGTTCAGCATTCAACTCTTGATCTCAGCTCAGGTCTTGATCTCAGGGTTATGAGTTCAAGCCCCATGTTGGGCTCTGCTCTGGGGGTGGAGCCTAGAAAGGAAAGAAAGAAAGAAAGAAAAAGAGAAAGAAAGAAAGAAAAAGAGAAAGAAAGAAAGAAAGAAAGAAAGAAAGAAAGAAAGAAAGAAAGAAAGAAAGAAAGGGAAAGAGGCCATGTATTGAATTCTGTCATATATTCCCACCAAGATATGTCATGATTAAACTGTATGTTTCCTTTATTAAATAGGAAAATAAATGTTTTATAAAAACTACAGATGAACAATGAAGGTAAACCAGTGTTGTTTAGATCTTTAAAAATCATATACAAATCGACATACAGAGATTAGAAAAGCTTATTTGCATATTGTATATAGTTATTTATAAGGACAGGTAAAGTACACAAAATTTGATGGCTGTTAGCAAGGGAAGATAATTGTTCTTGTGCTGAAAATAGAGTGCATAAACCATTTAAAATATCATATCAAGACAACCTTGAAATTCATTTTCAGAAAGAGTAAGATGTTCAAAATGCTGACCTATCTATTTTATCTGGTATTTTTCCCAAGTCACTAAGCTTCTAGTAGATGCTGTCCAAGTAGTCTTATCTAAGTCTTATTAAGACCTTGGGGCATTTGCCTTTCAGCTCATGTCATGATCCCAGGGTCCTGGGATCGAGCTCTGCATCCTCTCCCTGCTCAGCAGGAAGCCGGCTTCTCCCTCTCCCACTCCCCTGCTTGTGTTCCCTCTCTTGCTCTTTCTCTCTCTCTGTCAAATGAATAAATAAAATCTTAAAAAAAAAAGACCTTGAAATTAAAAACTTGTACATGATCTATTTATTACATAGTTCTTTTTATGATTATGCCTTTGATTATGGTATTTTAATAGCACAAAGTTTGCATAGTAGAGTCCATATAATCTAATATAGGCTGTCACCACTCCAATTACGACATTACTGCCCATCCAGAACACATTTTAAACTTCAAATGAGTAAGATGAAATAATCAAATTAGGGGAATTTTACCTATAGAGTAACCTGATATCCCACCCCTTTTGGGAAATTAAGTTTTTTATACTTAATATAGAGATTAAAACATGAAATAGAGCTACCAACAGAGGGAACAATCAACTCTGCCTTGGATTTCAAATCACTGAACTTCTGGCTTTCTTCATAGTAGAAATTTCCTCCTCATGATCACATACCACTGTTGTGCAATGTGAGACTGTACTCACATATTTTTTATTTTTGCCATCTTTGAATATCTCATATATAAAAGGCAAATCAATAATGTTTATTGTATTGTGTAGGACAGTTTATAATTTTTAGCTATTTGTAAGAATGAGTTTATAGAAATCCAACAATGATGACTATTACTGTGCCACAAAAAAGAATTTCAAAATGCTAGAGTTAAAGACACTCAAAAGGTCATTTGTCAGATTCTCAGAAGAGTCAAAACCAATAATAATAAACAAGACTGTGTCCCGCTGAGAGGAGGTGGCTATTATTGTGCCAAAGACTACATTTTCTGAACAGCAGTAATCAGTTAATTGCTCTAGTGGGTACCACACCATGGGAATCACTTTCAGGGTTAGACTGCACACGATTTCCCAACTTGAAGGGTTACAAATCAGGAAGAGACATTTTTGTTGTGTTGTTTTTTTAAATTTATTATCATTATTATTTTTTAGGATCAAATAATAAATACTTAGCTAGCTTTGCAAATAGCCACTGAAGAGACGGGGGGTGGGGTGGGGGCAGGTCTGATAATCATTACCTGAGGCCATGGAATATAGAGCTCTCTTTACAATTGGATTAGTTTAGACTTACTGTTCCAGCCCTTGGCAAAATAAAATAGTAAAAACTGTGAAAAAAAAAAAAAGGTCATTTGTCTAACCTCATTATAGAATTAAAGGAACTGAGGGCAGGACAGGGAGGTAACAAATTTCATGGCCTCTCAAATAAGTACTAGTTAACCAGAAGCTAGAAACCAGGCCTCAACCAGTAGTTCTAAACACTATGTCCTCGAGGGCATTATCTTATAGAAATTTCTAATGCACATCTTTTCTTGGCCTCAGGATCTTTTGCCTGACCTAAATGTAGTTGCAAGCAGAATTGCACATCAGCTGGGGCATAACCTTGGGATGAAGCATGATGATTACCCGTGTACCTGTAATTTTGAGAAATGTGTGATGGATCGTGGTGGAAGGTAAGATTCAAACAATGTAGAGAAGACATTTAAATATTTTGGGTGTGGCTCTTGGTTAGAACTCCATATTGTAGAGATATATTGTTATTATGTGAACATTTTCCTAATATATTCCATGAGGTCTATATAATGAAACCAGCCATGATAGGCTGTTTCCCTTCAGGGCTAAATCTTATCAGTTGGTAGTGTCTGTCCTAGTGACATGGTGAGAGAAATTCTGAAACTCCATCTGAACATATCGCAAAAATATACAATGATTAATTAGTAAATTATACTAAGGTGCCTAGGAGAGGAATACACTCTATGTGCCTTGTTTTATCATTTTTGCTATAAACTCTAATTTCCTCCTTCAACTCTTTACTCAAATGTCATTCTCAGCTAAACTTTCCCCAGCCACCTGATCTAATTTTTCAACCCTGTCTCCTCATATACATACTATGGCATTATCCATCCCTTTCTTCTTTGTTTTTTTTTCCATTCTTAGTATTAATCACTATCTAATATAGTCTATGCATTACCTACTTAAGCTTGCTTATTATTTTATTCTTCCAACAAAATATAAACTTCATGAGGTCAGAAGGTTTTGTCTGCTTTCTTCACTGTTTTATCACACTGTCTAGAAAAGTCCGTTACATACTAAGTACACTATATTACAGAATGAATGAATGTCCTATATCCCCCCACCATGCTGTGAATTATCTGCAGCCCAGCTCCTAAACTTTACACATTTTTGAACTCCTTCACAGAGAGTACACGGTACATTTCATATAAGGAAAGTATTTATGATGATGATCAGTGCTTCCATGTATTGATTACATGAAGTAAAGTAGTGAGACGATGGATTCTGAAAAACAAACTGAGGGTTCTAGAAGGGAGGGTGGTGGGAGGATGGGTTAGCCTGGTGATGGGTATTAAAGAGGACACGTTCTGCATGGAGCACTGGGTGTTATATGCAAACAATGAATCATGGAACACTGCATCAAAAACTAATGATGTGATGTATGGTGATTAACATAACATAATAAAAAAAATGGAGTAAAGTAGTGAAAGCACCCAAGTACAGTGACTGACATAGAGTGAGAACTAAGTAACTGATATCTAATTTTATATCATTATCTACATAATTAGTAGTATTTTTCAGGGCCCCACCATTCCAAAGTAATGTTTTTAAGCCTCTAAAAGTCCATCTGTCTCCATCAAGTGTCAATAATGGCAAAGGAGTCAAAACAAAAGGAAGGCAGAAGGGAAGTGAATTTTAGTCTTTTTAGTCTTTGAACTTTTCAGAAGGATAGTGCATTCCTAGGATGTGTAAGATATTACTAAATAAATCATTTGTTTCAACAATGTTTATAAAGAACTACTTTGTGCCAGGCATTATACTAATTAGTACTTATTTAAAAAAAAATACAGTCCCTGCATTGAGAAGCTCGTAATCTTGCATAAATGATAAATATATAGATTATGTCAAGAGGAACAAATAAAAAGTGATCTAGGAGCAGCAAGCACATTCAGTCTAAACTGTGGGCTCCAGGAAGGACTTTCTGGATGATATATAGTCAGAGTATGTTCACTAGAATATCATGTGTTGGTTGTTTCAATAAGACATTTTCTATAATAAAAGCCCACTTGCTACTCTCCTATTAACAGTAGAGTAGGAGAAGTAAATGGACTTCTGGAGTTCATCATTTATATTTATTCTTTCTAAATCCTTCATAAAAATTTCATAGCTGTTCCACCACTATGCATTGATAAAATTAATCTTTATTTTTAACTCATCTGAACTCTAGCATTCCTGCACTAAAATTCAGTAAATGCAACAGAATTCAGTACCTGCAACACCTGAAGGATTATAATCCAACATGCATGTTCAATATTCCATTTTCTGATACATTAAGTAATTACCCATATTGTGGAAACAAGAAGTTGGATGAAGGAGAAGAGTGTGATTGTGGCCCCATTCAGGTATTTGCAAATAATGTCTTTAAATTACAAAGTTTAGGGGCATCTGGGTGGCTCAGTTGATTAAGCTACTGCCTTCGGCTCAGGTCATGATCCCGGAGTCCTGGGATCGAGTCCCACATCCGGCTCCCGGCTCAGCGGGAGCCTGCTTCTCCCTCTGACCCTTTCCCATCTCATGCTGTTTTTCTCTCTCTCTCTCATTCCCTAATAAATAAATTAATAAAATCTTTAAAAAAAATAAAAAATAAATAAATTACAAAGTTTATGCTCTGCTAGAACCTAGGCAGGGAGTTAACCATTAATCAACCATGATATTCCTTGTAAAGTTTTAAATAATGTGTTTTTTTGTCTCGTTTCAAAACAAGTCATTGGTGTAGCCTCATTGCAAGGCATCTTACCAAGTCATGAATTATGTATAATGATCTTGCTGGAGACCCACGGTATCATATTTGCCTGGTTTATATAGTAATTGGCTCTTCTTGTAAGAAAAGCCAGTAGGTGCCTTTAAGTCTGATCTCATGCACAGTAGAAATTTGTCCTCCAGAGTTAGTCAATTGAGCTTTACTCAGGGCCTTATGAGGCTGGTCTCTATCCCAGCTGGACAGTTCATGTTATTAGAAAACTGTCTTAATTGAGCAGAACCCTTCTAACCTTCCACGTATTTACTGGAGCCTTGGTCTCAGGAACATTTAGAATATGCTTTTAAGACAAATTTTAATCTGCTTTCCTCCAACATAAAAGCTATTTCTGTTAAGAGCTTATCATATAGGTATGAGACATAGAAGCTGTTTCTGTTAAAAGCTTATCATATAGGTATGAGTCCTAGACAATCAGTTCTCAAATTATCATGTGTATATACATCACCTGGGGATGTTGTTAAAATGTGGATTCTGATTCTGTAGGCCTGAAGTGAGGCTGAGATCCTTTATTCCCAGCAACCTGCAAGATTATGTTGATACTGCTGGTCTGAAGACCACATATGTAGTATGTACACTGTAGACACTACAAAATTCAAAATAAATCTAATAGTAAGTGAATCAGAGACTCCATGATCAGAGTGGGGACAGTGATATGTAAAGAGGTTGCAACACCTAGTTTTCAAATGTCTCAGATTAAATGTAAAGAGGCTCTTTTTTTTTTAAGACTTTATTTGACAGAGAGAGAGACAACGAGAGAGGGAACACAGCAGGGGGGGAGTGGGAGAGGGAGAAGCAGGCTTCCTGCCGAGTAGGGAGCCCGACGTGGGACTCAATCCCAGGACCCTGGGACCATGGCCTGAGCCGAAGGCAGACACTTAATGACTGAGCCACCTAGGCGCCTGTAAAGAGTCTCTTAACTTTGGAAATTGAGGCTTTTGCCCATGTACATTCTTTAGAATGGTTCTACGGTTTCATTCTAACACATGAAGTACTTAACATTACATTTTTCAGACAATTTCTTTTGCAATTTTAATTTTGTTCGAGCAGATAAGGCCTATGTGTCCATCCTGCTGTTATTATTTAATGATGCATTAAAAACAACAACAAAGTTCAGCTTGAAATACTCAGCATCTTGAGGAAAATGTAAAATTAGATCTTCAGAAATTCTATTATCTCATATTAAACCTTTCATATAGAGAAGTAGCAGGGCCCTTCCAAAGAATGGAAGTCATCAGGAAAATGGAAGATCAGAAACTTTGGACCTTGTGAGCTGCTGATGAAAATTCATTAGTGTAGAGTATTGAACAGCTAATTGGGAAGAAAACAAAATAGGGGCACCTGGGTGGCTTAGTCAGTTAAGCCTCCAACTCTTAATTTCGACTCAGATCATGATCTCAGGGTCCTGGGATCGAGCCCTGCATTGGGCTTGGTGCTGAGCAGAGAGTCTGCTTGAGATTCTCTACCTCTCCCTCTGCCCCTCCCCCTGTTCACACACGCACGTGCTTTCTCTCTCTCTCTCTCTCATAAATAAATAAATCTTAAAAAAAAAAGTAAAAGTTCCAGAGACCAGTTACAAGCAGTAGTCTTCATATGTATGTCATAGCCAAGGATCATGCATTTGGATTTAACTCTGAAAGACAAGTAATGATAAATTACACAGAATAACTTATTAAATGAGACCTTAACTACAAACCAATTCCTGATCTTTAATTTTTGATCATTGCCAGGAGTGCACTAATCATTGCTGTGATGCAAACAAGTGTGTCTTGAGGCCAGGATTTACTTGTGCAGAAGGAGAATGCTGTGAATCTTGTCAGGTAAGGACCTGTGCTAGAACTAGGTTCTCCATTTTCAGTTTATTTAGTACACATAGGATGACAGAATTGGCTGTCCACTGAATGACCCTACACTACTAATCCCAGATTAGGGTTAGGCTTGCTTGTCCCCAATAATGCCTCTTCTGGGTTGTTCTGACTTCTAAGCCCTGGGCAATGCTAGGGCCTGGGGAGTGGAGAAGTAGGTATCACTTGGTCTTTTAGGAGTAGAGTTAGATGATAAACATTATTCTTGTTTCTTTGTAAATCATTGCCAGCATATTTAACTTCATGTGTGGTGGTGGTGGAATGGGTAGCATTCCAACAGTGAACTAGAAGGGAAAAGGATTATACTGGAATTGGAAAGTGAGAGTGACTAGTACATGGAGATATATCCCTAGGAAAGGCAATCAGAAATCCAAATGACTCTGTCCAAAGTTTTAATGACATTACTTTCAACACACTACATTGTGAGGAAAGGAAGCATGTCTTGTTCATTTTCAAATCTTTCTAGGACTCATTTCAATTAAATGCATATTGGGTGGCTGAATAAACAAATATTTCCATGCACTTTCCTCCAGCAATGAGTCGGGTGTGGATTTGGAGTGATGTGATTTCTTAGGAGTGGAGATTCCTCATTATAGATAGGTAGGGATTCCCAGTTGTATGTGTATGCTGGAGATGGTATGTCCTGGAGCAAGATGAACAGACCTCTTGCTCATTTCTCCATTTTATGTCCCTTCCAACTTTGCCCAATGCTGTTCTAATACAGATTTTCAAAAACACCATTGTGTCATTCCTGAAATTACATAAAAGCCAACACATTTACAAATGATAACAATTCTCAGTGGAATGGAGAAGAAAGTCATGATCCAAACTTAAAACTTTTTATTAAAATTTTTTATTGTTATGTTAATCATCATACATTACATCATTAGTTTTTGATGCAGTGTCCCATGATTCATTGTTTGCATATAACACCAAGTGCTCCATGCAGAACGTGCCCTCTTTAAGACCCATCACCAGGCTAACCCATCCTCCCACCCCCCTCCCCTCTAGAACCCTCAGTTTGTTTTCCAGAGTCCATCATCTCTCATGTGGGTCAAACTTCCTCCTACTTACTGAAACTTAAGCTACCTAAATGTATCCAAGATTTATTAGTCTTTTTGTTTTTCTGCAACAGATGAAAAAATCAGGGTCCATATGCAGACCAGCAAAAGATGAATGTGATTTTCCTGAAGTGTGTACTGGCTACTCTTCTGCATGTCCTAAGGACAAATTCCAAGTAAATGGATTTCCTTGCAAGAATGCAAAAGGCTACTGCTTCATGGGGAAATGTCCCACCCGGGATGATCAGTGCTCTCAATTCTTTGATAATGGTGAGAGACAATTACAGTGAATGGCTGATAAACATAATAGTTATTATTTCTATTATTATCCTGTGAAGATTTGGGGGCAAGATTGAAGATAATGCCATTTGTGGCATTCTTCCCAGATCTTACCTCAAATCTCTCTGGATATTACCTTTAATATTAGTTGATATTATCTCTAATATTAATTAACTAGCTCAGTATGTGGGTTGAGGTATGTTTGTTATTTTTTTATATCCATACTCCTCTGTAAAATATCCTCCTGATGCAATAGGATAGCTTTAAAGTGATTTATTTATCCCTTTCTTCCTTACCACTACATGATACTAAAGTTCCAATTACATTAGAAAAATAAGATATTTTATGATTTATAACATTCATGTTTTTATTATTTTACTCTAATCATTCCATTTTGGGTCCTAGAGGTGAAAGACAGTTCTGATCTCTGCTATGAAATGAATAAAAGAGGAAATAGATTTGGATACTGCAAAAACAAGGAAAACAGAGTAATTCCCTGTGAAGAGAAGTAAGTACCATGTAAAGAAAAGCAAGTGCCTTCTAAGAGTTTTTTTGCAAATTCAGAACTGCTCTTGCTCTGACAGCTGCTAACCTCTTTTTACTGAGGAGATTAGGAGAGGGAGTGAGGGAACGTGCACACATCCCTGATTGTGTAACTGGCATTTACATACTATATTTATGAGTTGAAGGTCATGGAATATAAGGAGGAAAGATGGGAAAGAGTTAAAATTAGGAGAAAGGGAGGAAGAGAAGTTACAAAAAAAATAGGACAGAGCAAACAGGAGGAGGAAAATAAAGTGGAAAAGGGGAAAAGAAGCTGTGAGAGGGAAACAAGTGAAGCCCTAACAAGAAAAGAAGAGTAGAGCTTCAAATTGGAAGGAAGGGGAGAAGTGGAAGTTAGATCTGATTTTAAAAAGGTATTAGCTGTGTCGTTCTTCCAGATTTATTATACTCAGAAAGGCTTTTTTTCTGTGCCACAAAACAGGATTTGGACTGAAAACAACAACAGACACCTTTGGTCAAAAGTTTCACCTAGAATAGGTGAAACTGGGCAGTCACTTAACTTCCTCTTACTTCCAATTGTTGCCTAATCTGTAAAATGGGTATTATAATAACATCAAACTCACAGGTTTGTTGTGAGAATTAACTGATGTGCTCTGTGCAAGAAAGAATAAGAAAGAAATCTTAACATCTTGATGAAAGTTAGACGAACTCAAATTACTAATAGGAAATACCCTTCTGTAAACTGGAGCTAATACTGATTTGTGAGAACCACAGAACTATAAAGAAATACAATCATTTTACATCTTCACCTACTCATCACAGTTCCCAGAATCAGGACTTTGTCTAACCTTTGGCCCTGCCTCTCTTGGTGTCTCTGCAGCCCATTGATAAGCCTGGGTCTAGAGAAAAGTGGCCAAGCCACTTCACTGCCAGCCTCATCTCTATAAATTTCTATTTCCTGGTCGCGAGTCTGAGAATATTCTCCCTTTCCTTCAGAGATATCAAATGTGGAAAGATACACTGCAGCAGAGGGCAGCATTCATCTCTTCCTGGAAAAGAAAAAATTAATCACCTTAAGAAGATTTCAAAGCAGAATGTCACCAATGAGTGTAAAACTTTTATTTTATACCACAATTCTAAAGATTTGGGCCTGGTTGCTCCTGGAACAAAATGTGGAGATGGAATGGTAGGTTGAAAGCCCTTTGTTTTTTTAAAACTTCTTGGTTCAGCCACTTCAAAACATTATTTTCTATAATTGGTTCCTGAGGGCCTATAAATGGGAAAGCAGAAACAAATGGGCAACTTTTTTTTAATTGAGCAAAGTAGTAATAACCCTATAATAAATATTCATTTTGCCTGATCTCTGTTATACAAAATGATATGTGAATGTGATAAGTGTGCTTAATTAGTATCTTACAGTAGACAGCTAGTGAAATTGTAGACATAATTTTTTAAATTAATTTGACTATGAAGTAGACATATTTTCTTCAATTATTTCATTCATTCAGCCATATTTATTGGGCACATACTATGGTGCCAGCAGCCATACTGGACACAAATGAGAAAAATATGAGTGTACTTGAGAATTTCATAAATTAAATTATATGTATTACAATCTAACGCAAGTGCTTTCATAGTGGTGTAACTAATGAACATTTGAGTCCAAAGGAAGAAGTGATTGCCTTCACTTGGAGAACATGAATGGCATATTATGATGCCATTAAATGAGTGACATTTCAGCTTTGACATGATGAACATTTTTCAATTCAGACAAAATGAGAAAAGACTTTTTAAAAAGAAATACCTAGATAATATGCAAAGGTACAAAATGAATGGCACAGTCAGGTAGTTGACAATTTCAGTGTGACTGGAGCTTTGGGTAAAATGTCAGAAAATGAAGTTGAGCAGCTAGAATAAGGCCAGATCAGAAGAGGTTTATCATTCCAAGATGAAAACTTTAGAACGTGTACTAAAAACAACAGCCAACTCATCAAGGTTTATAAACACAGGAATATATGGAAAACATAATACTTTTTAAAAATCAGTTATTTTGAAATAATATAGTTTCTGTCTGTGATATAAGTCCTCTCCTCCCATACTACCACCCACAAACATTACAGTTTCATTCATGTAATGTGATAGAGAAATGAATTGAAAAACAAAATTCAGAATGTAAAAAAGGGAATTAGAATTTAATAATTTAATGGAGATCTATATTTCAGATCTACATACTTAACTATTAGTTTCCCATTAAAATAACTAAATATCAAAACGATGAGGAATCTATATTTGTGAAATTTTAAGTATGTGTATCAACCACATATTATAAAGTTCAAGGACTTCCAATGATAGTGTGCATGAGGTATCAGGCTAGAGAAATATCAAACAATTTTCTATTCACTCCAGGTAAGAAAAATCATCCAGGAATACTAAGCAGAAGTATGACTTACCCTTCATAGAATCCCATAATGAGTGGCAGTGATTGACCAAAGGAATTTATAGGGAAGCAGTTGTTACTGAATCTTGATCTTACAAGCATGTTTGACCATATGCCACCACACAGAGTGCCTATTTTTCAAGAGAAGTCTTAATATAGAAGTGTACCAATCACAATGGTGCCAATTATTGGGTCAATTCATAATGAGGGAATTCATGAATAGCAAATGCCAGTTTATAGATGGATCACAAAGATACTAGTTATAGGCGTTTCATCTAATTTTTACATTGAAAGACTATTTTTAGATATGATTAAATTAAAATGAATAAAAACATTCTGGTTTCTCATAATAGTTTTTCTTTTTGGGTAAAATTTGATTTGGCATAGAAAATGAGGGCAAACATATTCCATTTCCCTTGGATGCCTTTTTCCTTAGTAATATAGATAAGAAAAATAAAACAAAAGAAAAACAGTGAGAATAGATGACAAGGGAAGGATAATAGAGTGGAAAGGAAGAAGAGTAGAGGAGAGTGGGGAACGAAGGGATAATACTAATTAGTCTTCTCTGGCACAAAAGAATTGCTGCAAACCTGTCTCTGTAGTTTTCTCTTTATTAAACATATAAAAATGGCAAAACCAAAATAAGAAACATTTCAATGTTTCCGTTAGTTGAGCCTGAAGTATGTGAAAAGAGATTTACATGGACTTTAGCAGCGTTTTCCAGTGTTCATTTGATCATGTATTTATGAAAATCCATTCTATAAGGATAAGCAAAGAGGACAAATAGCAGCAGACAAAAGAATTCAACAGTGTGAACAATGGAGATTAATCTGAGGATTCACAGATGTTAGTCCCCTATGAAACAGATGCACATTAAAAAAGAGAGAAATCCTTTAGAAAAAAAGTTAAATTTATATTTTAATCAGATTTAAAGGGATATTAAATCTATAAAAATGGTATTATTTGAAAACAATAAGCACTGCTTTCAAATTACAAAATAAATCATAATTACTGATTTATATGTAACTTGAGGAGTAAACCATGAAATGTAGTAAGCCACAAAAAAATAGTAAATTAGAAGCTAAACTTCTTAACACACAAGAATGAGATAAAGGAATTCTAAAGAAGAAAATGAATAAAAACAGGAAAAATAGTTCTAAGAAATCTGATATAGTTTTAATAGGAATCCTAGATAAAGAAAACATAATATAGGTAAAAGTGTAATTAAAGATATAATAATAAAAAATGTCCCTGAGCTGAAGAATGTATAAAATAAAAACTCATTTAGTACAAGGAAAAATTCATAGGAAGAAGTGAGCATTTAGACTAACCTTCACAGCATGAAGTCAACAATAAAGAAAATGTCCTATAAGCCCAAAAAAGGCAAGTATCATTTTTCAACAACAACAAATTATCAGGTTATCATTATATTTATCTTCAAAAAGAAATGCCAGAAAATAATGCAACAAAATCTATGGAGCTCTGGAGAATGGAAGTATTGGGACCCTAAAACCATACATACAGCCAAATTATTATTCAGATAATAAAGCAATAGAAGGACATCCTCACACACTTTATGATGAAAAAAACTATAGTAAATTAGACAGCATTTATTTCTGAAAAGAAAAATAGTCAAGGAAGTACTCTAGCCAACTGGGAAATGAATTAAACTAAAAAGTTAAATGAGAAGATAGAACATTAAGGAAATAGTTGCAAGCAAGAAAATCTATACTAATTTTGAGTAAATTCTAGTTATTTATTAATAATGTGTTTATTATAAGAGCTTAAAAAACATATTGAATAGTGAATAATAACAATCTTTACAAATTTCAGTTTTCTCAAATACATGAATTAAGAAGAAGAAAAAAGAATAAAAAATGTGACAAATGTCTTATCTTACATAAGGAAGAGTTAATGCTTATTTAGTCTTGGAAATGATAAAATGATTTAGATTTAAATATTTTAATGTAAACTGAATCAATGTTTAGAAAACAAAACATAGCTTTTAAATTGCAGAAAAAGGTAATAAAGATAAAAAGATAAGCTAAAATGTCTAACATTTAAAATCATATAATAAGATGAAAGTAGTAAAATTAAACATATCACTTACCACAAATATAAATGGGTTAAAATTTCCCTATTTAAAACATTAAAGTAATTTTTGAATTGGTGGCCAGAAAGAATTTTCAGGGAATTGCATCAGCAAGATGGTGGAATAGGAGGTGTCCCAGTAATATCTCCCCACAACAATGATAATTTGGCAGCTAGCCATGGAAAAAGTACCTTTGTAGGAACTTTGAAATCGAGGTAGGATCTTGCAAAACATTGATGGAGTCCAAGACCAGAGGTCCACTTTGAAAGAGCAGGCCCATGCCCAGGTGACAGGCTTATTGACCATAGTCCTGGATACAGATCCATAAATACCCATATCTCCTGCTGCTTGACTACAGCCTCATTTGGCTTTGGTACCACCACCAACAACATCTGCCTAGGCACCCCTGGAAGACACATCCATCCATATCCCTGGAGGCAGATGCACAGACCTTGGTCCAACCACAGATCTTGAAATGGCCCTGTGAATTCATTCCATTCCTTCTTATCCCAAGTGCAGTTCTAGACAATCCTCCTGCCCACAGGATTTCCAGGAAACATGCCTGGTCCATGCACCCAGAGACATCTTGCTCAATGACCCAGCAGAAGTCAAGAATCCAGTAAGAGATACAACTATCCATGCGCCTAGAAGAAGGCCAGCCATCTGACTCAGGTGCTGTGGTAGACCCTTGTCACATTGCCAGTCCTTGTGACCAAGGTCACAGAGGCACTCCTGTCCACCCAGATACTATGCAGAATCCACATCTACACAAGCCCCTAGTCACAGAGCAGTAAACTGCAAATCTTACTACAGACCAGATGGCAGCCACATAACCTGGCTCTAGTCTCACTCAACTGCAATCCTGGAAGCAATCCCATCAGCCCAGGGATCCAACATGAGGTTTTTACCTGACAAAACCAATCTGTAAAACCTGGAAAATATGTCTGCTCCTTGAAATGCACAGACACCAATGCAACAGTAAATGGATCACAAAGATTCAGGCAAACATAATACCATCTGAAGAAAACTCATAAAGCTCTAGCAACTAATCCTGAAGAAATGGATATCTAAGATTTGCTTGACAAAGAAATCAAAGTAATCATTTTAAAGAAGCTCAGAAGGATGCAAGGGACCACAGATAGATGACTAAATGAAATCAGGAAAGCAATGCATGAACAACATAAGTTTAACAAAGAAATAGAAACCATAAAAAAAGAACCAAACAAAAATTCTGGAGCTGAAAAATACATTATAGAAATGAAAAAGTCAATGGAAACCTTCAACAGCAGACTGGATCATTTTAAAAAAAAAATCAGCAAACTTGAAGATAAGTCATTTGAAATTAGAAAGTTGGAGGAACAAAAGAAAAAAGAATAAAAACTAGTGAAGAAAGCATATGGAACCTATATGACACCAATGACAAAAAATGAATATATGCATTATGTGAGTCCCAGAAGGAGAAGAAAGAGAAAGAGAGAAAGGGGAATAAAGATTAATTTTTCAAATAATGGCTGAAAATTAGCCAAATATTTGGAAGGATATCAACTTACAAGTAGTGTTAAAGGGAACTCTTCAAATTGAAACAGAGGATGCTAAGTAACAACATGAAAACATTTGTAGTGTAATTTTCATTGGTAAAGGTAAATATACAGTCAAATTCAGAATGCTTTAATACTGTGAAGATGGTATATAAGTGTATTTTAACTCTAACATAAAAGTTAAAAGACAAGAATATTAAAAATAACTATTACTACAATAGTTTGATACTGGGTACACAATATAAAGAGATGTAAAGTGTGATATTAACAGCATGAAATATGGAGGAAGGAGAAGTAAAAGTATAGTAATCACAATGACTTAAAAAAAAAAAACTCTAGTAGATACGCAAAAGATAAAGAGGAAAAACATCAAAGCATACCACTGCAAAAAATCAACAAAGCACAAAGGAAGGCAGGAGAAGAGGAAGGAAGGAACAAAGAAGCTATAAAGCAGTCAGAAAACAATTAACAATGAAAATAGTAAGTTCTTAACTATCAATAATTAGTTTAGACAGACAAAACTAAATCTAGATTTATCTATCCAAAAGACACAGATTGGCTGTTGGGTTAAAAAACAACAACAACCAGGATCCAACAATATATGGCCTACAAAACACTCATGTTATGTTTAAGGACATAGGCTTAGGGCGCCTGGGTGGCTCAGTTGGTTAAGCGACTGCCTTCGGCTCAGCTCATGATCCTGGAGTCCCTGGATGGAGTCCCGCATCGGGCTCCCTGCTCGGCGGGGAGTCTGCTTCTCCCTCTGACCCTCCCCCCTCTCATGTGCTCTCTCTCATTCTCTCTCTCTCTCAAATAAATAAATAAAATCTTAAAAAAAAAAAAAGGACATAGGCTTAAAGTGAAAGGATGAAAAAATATTGCATGCAAAAGGCAACAAAAAGAGAATAGTGTGGCCATATTTATACCAGACAAAATACATTTTCAATCATAATCTGTCACAAGAAACAAAGACCACTATGTGATGATAATGGAGTTAATTCATTAAGAGGATGTAACAGTTATAAGTATATATAATATGCACCAAACATTAGAGGACCTAAAGATATAAAGCAAATATACAGTAAACAGAAAGGAGAAATACAATACAATTATAGTATGGTTTTTTAATACCCTACTCTCAACAATGGATAAATTATCTACACAGAGAATCAAAAAGAATACAATAGGCTTGAATAACTCTATAGACCAAATGGACCTAACAGATATATACAGAATATTCCATCCAGCAGCCACAGAATACACACTTTTCTCAAGTAAACTTGGAATATTCTCTGAGATAGATCATATGTTGGGCTACAAAACAAGTCTCAACACATTTAAGAAGACTGAAATAATATCAAATATCTTTTCTGACCGTAATAGAAAACTAGAATTCAATAACAGGAGGAAGTTTGGAAAATTCACAAATATTTGGAAACTGAACAATACACTCCTGAAAAAAAAAATGAGTAAAGAAGAAATTGAAAGGGCAGCCAAAAAATACCTGATATAAAGGAAAATGGAAACACAACATAGCAAACTTATGAAATGCAGCAAAACCAGTTCAAAGAGGGAAGTATATAGCGGTAAAGCCTACCTTAAGAAAAAAGAAAAATTTCAAATAAGCAACCTAATGCTACACTTAAAGGAACTAGAAAAAAAAGAAAACGACTAAGTCCAAAGTTAGCAGAAGTAAGGAAATAACAAAGATTTTTTAGAGCAGAAATAAATGAAACAAGAAAGACAATAGAAGAGATTTAAAAAATTGTTTTGGTTTTTAGAAGGTAAAGAGAATTGACAAAACTTTAAGTCGACTGACCAAGAACAAAGGGAGAGGATTCAAATAATAAGATTATAAATGACAAAGGAGACATTACAACTGATATCACAGAAATACAAAGGATCATAAGAGAATACTATGAATAATTATACAAGTTGAATATTTAAAAGAAATGGATAAATTCTGAGAAATATAAAATGTACCAAGACTAAATGATGAAGAAATAGAACATCTGCACAAATAGGAGATCAAAACAATAATTAATAATCTTGGATCATTAGAAGAACAAAGAAAAGCCCAGGATTGGATGTTTTTGTATGTGACAACAAAAGCACAGGCAAAAATGTAAAAATAAATAAGTGAGACTATATCAAAATAAAAGATTTCTTCAGCAAAGGCCACAATCAAGAAAATGAAAAAGTAATCAATGGAATGGGAAAAAATATTTGCAAGCCCCATATCTGATAAAGGGTTAATAGATAAAAATAGTAAGTAACTCATGCAACCAATAGCAAAAACAAAAACAAAAACAAATAGTCCAATTTAAAAAAAATGAGGTAAGGACCTGAATGGTTATTTTTTCCCAAAGAAGATATACGAATGACCAACAAGTAAATGAAAAGGAGGTCAACATCATTAATATTCAAGGGAATGCAAATCAAAGCCACTATGAGATATCACCCCATACCTGTTAGGATGGTTATTATCAAAAAGACAACAAATAAAAAATGTTGGTGAGGATGTGGAAAAAAAGGTACCCTTGTGCACTGTTGGTGGGAACGTAAATTGGTATAGCCATTATAGAAACAGTATGGTGGTTCCTCAAAAAATTAAAGATAGAACTACCCTATGATCCAGGAATCTCACTTTCGGGCACATAATTTTAAAAAGTTGAAATCAGGATCTTGAAGAGATATCTGCACTCCCATGTTCACTGCACCATTATTTACAATAGCCAAGATATGGAAACAATCTAAATGTCCTTTGACAGGTAAATGGATAATGAAAATGTAATATATATATAGAGAGAGAGATATATAATATCACAATAATATATAATAACAGAATATATATAATGGAATATTATTTAGCTTTTAAAAAAGAGGGAAATTCTGTCAGTTGCAACAACGTGGATGAACTTGAAGGACATTTCTTGTATGCTAAGCAAAATAAACTAGTCACAAAAAGACAAATACTGTATGATCTCACTTATATGTGGAAGCTAAAAAAAAGTCAAATTCACAAAAGCAGAGAGTAGAATGATGGTTGCCAGGTGGGGGAAATGGGGAGATGCTGCTGAAAAAGTACAAATTTTATGTTATGAGTAAATTCTGAAGGTCTAATGTAGATCTTGGTGGCTATCGTTAGATACTGTATTTTAAGTGTTCCCAGTACAAAAAAAGTAACTATTTAAGGTGATGGATGTGTTCATTAGGTTGTTTGTGGTACTCATTTCACAATGTATAAGTATACCAATCATCACAATATGTACTTTAAATATACACAATTTTTGTCTATTATACCTCCATAGAGTTGGAAAAGCATTTCTTGATATAAAAGAAATGGATAAAAATAAAAATAACAGGTAAAAATTAAATAAATGGGTGAAGATAAGCCAGGTAATAATTATAAGCAACAAATACAGTAATTTGATTATAAAATGTACAAAAAATAACAAGCAAAATTTAAAACAAAGTTAATAAGCATAAATAAGATTAATTGACATTGACAATAACAAAATGCCTAATCAGCAACTGTGACATAGCAAGCATAGATCCTTATCAAATCAAAATAAAGCTTGATAGAAATAATAAAAGAAATTGTTGTACCTATGATTACAGAATCTTTGATAAATTAACATTTGAAAAATTAGTAAAGATATAGACATTTTAATAATGAGTTTATATAAAACAATATTTGAATGTACCCTATATTCATTTCAAATATCTATCAAACATTTATGGAGGATTTCTTCTTCTACAGAAGATTCTACATGTGGTTTTTTACAATAGAAAAAGTCGTGTAAATTCTAAGAGCAAGTTATTAATTCATATGGGTAACTTCATTTCCAGGTGTGTAGCAACGGTGAATGTGTGAAACTTGAAAAGGTCTACAATTCAACCAATTGCTTTTCTCAATGCAATGAAAATGCTGTAAGATTTGACTCCTTTTTAAATTAATGTTTTGCCAGTCATTTATTTACGTAGGACTTCATTCCTGAGAGTGGTGTGTGTGTGTGTGTGTGTGTGTGTGGTGATTTTTAAATCAAATATACATTTGGGATCCATTTTCTCATGTATCATCCATAAAATTGATCTAAAGATCCAAACCAGTATTACACATAGATATTGCCGGTATTGCAAGTGTATATTTTATCATTGGATTGGTAATCTAGAAACCCAGTAATTTATGCACATATGAAGTTTAAGCTTGATGTTTAAATTTGAATCTATCATAATGTCACTTATAGTTAAATTATACCAATGTCAACATTAACCTAAAGCTTTTGACAAATCAACAAAAACTTATAAATACACATATTTATAATTTTTGTTGTGTATATGTGTCTATATATATCTAAATATCTATATAAATATATCTAAGTATATAATATAAGATATAATATAATATATATCTAAATACTAGCAGTACCTAGTAGTTTGCATTTGTGGGTAACATCTCTCCTTAACCCAGTTAATCAGTAACATATAAAGTTTTATATGTATCAGGTACTCTTTCAAGTACTTTACATATATATTAAATTTTACAAGCTTCTCAACAGCCTTAAAAGGTGGGTACTATTCCTATACCCACTTTTATAGATGGAGAAGAAATCACATAATGTTCTGTAAAAGGAAAAACTGAGATTTAAGTACAGAAAGAATGTATATTCTTAATCATGACACAACGCTCTTTGATGAACTAAACATGGTGCCACCACTTTTTCTCATGTTAATATTATTTCATTACTACTAAACCTAGCTAGATCTGGCTATGATATGTCTAACTCTAGCAGAGGGCTATTCCTTTAATAAGATTGATGCCATCTAGAAAGATAAGTCAAGCCATCTTGTTCATCTGGTTTTGAATTTGTTAGAATCATTCTCTTGTCCAAAGGCCATCTTCAAATTGGTTGCTTGTAACTTTGTTTGCTTATTTTTTTTCAAAGGTTGATTCTGATACACAGTTTAGTTAATCAGTAAAAGTATGTGTGTGTGTGTGGGCATCTGTGTGTGTGATGTAGAACTAAGCAAAGTGCGGTGCAAAACACACACATAATCTGATAAAATTATATGACTGATTGCTCTTCCAGGTGGTTGGCCATGAACTTGAGTGCCAGTGTGAGGAAGAACAGGAACATGTGGACTGGGGAGAAAACTTCAATGTTACCAGTGAGCATCCTAGAATATAATATCTTACATATATCAAAAGCCTAGACAATGAGAAAGCTTTTTGCCTTATTTCTGAAACCTAATATGTATATGTTGTGTTTCTGTGTGGATTTGCACAGTATTTTAATTATTTTGTGTATTAAAATAGCCAAATTTGAATTTACAACAACTGTCTTTTAGAATCAATATATCTTCTTCTAGTTAAATTTGGATTAGATCTTCTAAGAACCCATAACGCAATAAGGCCTTTTCTATAGTCAGTTAGTAACTGACAGTCAAAACATTTCCTGCTGATTGTGGTTCTTAAACATAATGGAGTCTTGGGTGGATTGTCAATGTCTAATACAGATGATAATTTCTCTAATGTCTTGGTCTTTATATTTAAAAAAAAAATTGGAGGAAGGGGGAATTAAAATCCTTTAAGGAAGGGAGAAGCTGGATTGCAACAGCTCAGTTAATATGCCACTGTTGATGTCCTGGCTAAAGCTTATGTTTTTTAATGTTGCAGATATATCCATCCTGGTTGTTGTGCTTGTCCTGGTTATTATTGGTGTTGGGGTAGTCGTATTATTAATTCATTACCAGAAATGTATTAAGTTGAAGCAAATTCAGAGGTATGTATTTTCTATGTGTTGAAATGGGACCATTACTGAGAATATATAAGCTTTATCACCACTGATGGTACTCCATGGGGGAGAAGTATAACCCTTTACTGAGGTCAAAGTAAGAGTAACAGTAAATCGAGCTTTTACATATTTATGTTTTCATCTCCAAATGCTTATCCCAGTGGGGTTCCTAAACTTCTCTACACACTGGAATCATAGGGATTTTTTTTTTAAAGAATGCTAATTTTAGTTCCTACCTCAGATTTAATTGTTACAGGGTGTAACTTGAGTATCAATCTTTTAGAAATCTCCTAGATGATTAAATATTAACCACAGAGTTATCCTATCGCTTATGACAATATTCAATTTCCTTCTTGACAGCCCACCTAGAGATACACTGGGAGTGGAGAATAAAGGATACTTTGGTGATGAGCGGCAGGCAAGAACTGAGCCAATTTTACCTGATATTCATCCCCTCCATGTAAGAAAATGCCATTTGCAATAGTTAATTAATTGATTTAAAAAGAAGTTGCACGTGTTTTTGAAGTGGAACTAGGCCTAATCTAAGTGACATGGGAGAAGCAAAAGAACAGTTTAACATAATTCCACACCAATGTAGCCTTCAATCTACCTGTGGGCAAGGAAAAGATGGCAGGACACAAGCAAACCAAGACTCTATTTTAGAGCAGCATATATTAGTGAAATAAAATATTGATTTGTGCACTATTGGAAAATTTACAAACATAAACTATATTTTGGAACATAAAACAAGTATTTTTTTTTAAGATTTTATTTCTTTATTTGAGAGAGAGAGAGAGCACAACCAGCAGGGAGGTGGGGCAGAGGGAGAGGGAGAAGCAGACTCCCCGCTGAGCAGGGAGCCCAACACGGGGACTCAGTCCCAGGACACTGAGATCATGACCTGGGTTGAAGGCAGACGCTTGACTGACTGAGCAACCCAGGCACTCCGGGACAGAAAACAAGTCTTAACAAATTTAAAAGAATTGCTGTTATACAAAATATGTTCTCAAAATAAAATTTTATTAAAAACCAGTAACAGAAAAATATTGGGAAAATCCCCAATTGAAAATTAGATAACAAATTCTAAAGAACACTTGGGTCAAATAAAAACTCAAAAGGGAGAATAAAAAATAAAGGAAAATGAAACAAAACATACCAAAATTTGTGGGAAATAATGAAATCAATAATTAAAGGAAAGTTTATAGCACTAAATGCTTATGTTAGAAAAGAAGAAAGGTATCAGATTGATGATATCAGCTTTTATTTTTAAGAAACCAAAAAATTAAAAAAAAAAGAAAAAGAAAAGCAAATAAAGCTCCATGCAAGTAGAGGACAGGAAAATAATAAATACTGGGCACCAATGAAATTGAAAACAAAACAAAACAAAAATCACGTAAGAAAAAAATGAAAGCAAAATTGTTTTCTACAAATTAATAAATCTTACAAATTTCCAGTCTGAGCAGAAAAACGTAAAAGAGTCAGCATGACTATCAGGAATCATAAAGTGACATCACAGGAGAGCATACCCTTATTAAATTGACAATATTTTGAATATGAAGATTAATTTGGAAAATTATAATTTTAATATATTTGAGTGTAATTAAATAGTGAACTTTTTGACAGTTGCAAATCATCAAAGCTTTTTCATGAAAAAATAAACTAAATAGTTCTGTATGTAACAGAGAAAACTGAATTTGTAGTAAACACCTTTCCACAAAAAAAATGGTGAATTCTACCAAACATATATATAATGATGAAATAATACCAATTGTACATAAACTTTTCCAAAAAATGGGAGAGAATCCACACTTCCCAACTGCTTTTATAAGGAAAGTATTTTTCTGTTATACACCTAGAGAAAAGCATTACAACAAAGAAAACTATTTGCCAATACTTCTAATAAATATGTGTATAAATATTAAATTTTAGCCAATTGAATTTCACAATGCATAAAATGGATAATGCATTGTGACCAGATGAGGTTTATCCTAGGAATGTAACATAAAGTTAACATTAAGGAATCAATCAAGCTAATTCACTGTATTATTTTACTAAAAGTAAAATCATGATCATCTCAACAGATGCAGGAAAAGTATTTGAAAAAAAATCTAATATATATTCCTGATAAAACTCAGTCAACTAGGAATATAAGGAAACTTTCTGAACCTGATGGAAGTATCTACCAAGAAACCTAGAGCTACTATCGTATTTGTGGTTAAAAAACTGAATACTTTTCCTAAATATCAGGAACAAAGCAATGATGTCCACTGCCACCACTTCAATTTACCATTTTACGTGAGATTATAGCCATACAATAAGGAAAAAAAAAATAGAAAGAAAAAAGTAAACTGTTTTGATTTGCTGAAGACACAATCATCTATCAAAAATCTGATAGTAAATAGGGGCGCCTGGGTGTCTCAGTCCTTGAGCGTCTGCCTTCGGCTCAGGTCGTGATCCCAGGGTCCTGGGATCGAGCCCCGCATCGGGCTCCCTGCTCCACAAGAAGCCTGCTTCTCCCTCTCCCACTCCCCCTGCTTGTGTTCCCTCTCTCGCTGTGTCTCTCTCTCTGTCAAATGAATAAATAAAATCTTTAAAAAAAAATCCTATAGTAAATAAAAGTGAATTTAGTAAGATTTTAGGATACAAATTCATACGCAAAAACTTACTGTGTTTCCATATATAAACAATGAACAATCTGAAAAACAAAATGAAACCACAAAATGACATTTACAGCAGCATCAAAAATATGAAATACCTAAAGATAAAGCTGACAAAATATGTAGATAAAAAACTATAAAATATTGATGAGAAAAATTTTAAAAGACCAAAATAAATGGAGGAAATACACTGTTGTTGAGTCAGTTCTCTGCAAATGGATCTATAAATTCAAAACAATAATCAAAGAATTGGCAAGAGTTTTTGTAAAACAAATAAATTTAACAAGGATATAAGAACAATAAATGAAAATTAATTATATTTCCATATACTAGTAACAAATAATGTGGAAATAAAATCAAAAATAAAATTTGAAATAGCACCAAAAATGTGAAATATTTAAAGATACTTCTGATGAAATATGAACCAGAACTATATATGGAAAATGTCAATATGCTGCTGAGAAAAATTTTAAGACCTAAATAAAAAGGAGTATATGGATTCACATGTATATTAATATATTGATCGGTTGCCAGTTGATTTGCTAATTGATTCCTTACAAAGGTGCAAAGGAAATTCAGAGGAGAGAGAACAGTCTTTTCATAAATGGTGTTGGAGCAACTGGATATCCGTATGTACAAAGACTAACCGTGATCCATTCCTCAAACCAATAACAAAATTAACTCCAACTGCAATATACACAGAAATATATGTATTTTTTCCCAGTAAAAATTTAAATAAAAAAATGTACAAACTAAATTATAGTGTTGAGAGGTAAATATTTGGGGGGTAAACATACAATGACATGCAAGAGCGAGTTCATTATTTTAAGTAAGGAATGTGGCTAATTTGAGGGGTGGCAGTAGTGATAGGAAACTTGAAATGGCAAAGTTTTATTTCTTAACCAAGGCAGTGATTTCAAGGATATTTACCTTAAATAGTTCATTAAGCCATAAACCTGTTGTGTGTGTTTTATCTGTATTATATTTTCCTGTGAAATGATTAAAAATAAAGGACAACAATACCAATTACTAGTGGGGATATGGACAATGAAAACTCTCATACACAATTAATAAGAGTTTAAACAGTACAGCTATGGGGGAAATTGGTACTAAGTATTAAAACTGATCATACATATACCCTATGACACAGCAGTTCCTGTCATATGAATACACCCAACAGAAATCCATACATGTATATGGGAAAACATTTAGAATTATGTTGCAGTAGCATTATTTGGAAAAAGTGAAAACAATAAAAATGTCTAATAAGAGTGAAAGGGATGAACAAAATGCTATATACTCATACAATGGAACATTACAGAGAAGGCGTGATAAATGAACTACTGATATCGACCACATGAATAAATCTCACAAACACACTGTTAAGATGTCAAATCCAAAAACACACTGTATGACTCAATTTTTATCAAATTCAAGAACTGGCAAAGCTAATCTATGGTATTAGAAGACAGGGTAGTGATTACCGCAGGGAAGAGAGAATCTTCAGAGAAGGAGATAAAGTTTTATTTTTTGATTCTGGGCAACTTTGAGCAACTTTCGTTGCTCATTTGTGAAAATCCATCCTCTACACTTGTATATGTGCATTTCTTTGTGTATATTTTACACTAAAGGAAAAGTTGATTGAAATCACAGCTTTAGCAATATATGAAGACCTAAGAGAAAAACCAGTAATCTTGCAGAAGTCCCTACAATTAGTGGCTTGTTTACTACCTTTAACAACAGCTATGATTTCTAGTGCATTCAGCTCATTGAAAAAAACTGTAAGTGTCCAAATTAAGAAGGTACAAAGTCATTCCCTTAAAAAAAATTAACCATTGAAGAAAGCATTATTGATAGGACAATATTGATGAAATTACCCAGTAGGACTGTCTTGAAGGAAGGAATATAAGCCTTAAATTCAGAGGCTAAGTATTAGCTGACCATTATTAGATGCAAATGCAAATGAAAATATGATAATGCTAGTATTTTTAAGTTAGGATTTTTTTTGGTTAGTGGTGGCCTGGTAACACAGCTCCAAAGATTTTGAATGCTTTGCTCCAACCCTACGTGTCACATAAGCCCTGTGTTTCTTACTTCACAATATTGCAGAACATGCTCCCGCTCGACCCCCAGAAATACATATATGCTTCTACTGAACTTCACTCGAGTATTTAAGGATGGTTAATCTTTCTCTGGTTGTATGATGGTTTATTATTTTTTATTATGCCAATGATGACCCCAAGATGATAAAGCAAGTCTTAATTGTCCACTGGAATGGATGGAAAATATTGTGTGATAATTTTTTAAGCTTACACTTAGATTTGTTGATATGAACAACACGATGCGAATATCAATCTTGTATATTTGCCTTGAGGTTTAAATAAGAAACTATGTAAAGGTACTTATCACAGTGTTTGCTAAATATTAGTACTTAATATGTATTAACATGCTTCATGAATTCATATGAAAAACAGTTGCGCTCCTGGGAAATGAGAGTCTGGTGAAAAGTGGCCTGAGTATGGGATCAATGATACATATTCACAGAAGTCAACCAGAGGTTCACATAGAGACCTTGGGGCATATTTGTTTCATTTCCAGAATGCAAGTTCCTTAATGATAATTTTAGTTAAATGAGGGAAAGTAAAAGAGGAACTTAACAAATATTTGTTAGATATATAAATAAATTAAATTCACTATTAATGGTATATGTGCCATAATATGTTATAAACACAGGTTGTATAGTGTGGCATCGAATCTCACATTTAAGCTTTTTGTATTATTTGTTATAAAGTCATATAAATAACAGTGATTTAGCTGATGCTTGTTTGACACATTAGTTACCCATCAAAGGCCAGTTTTCAGGAAAATTGTGGTTTGGGAAGGGTCTTTTGATGTCCTTTCCCTGTTACATTAATGATGCTTAGTTATTTTTTTTTCTCTGGCACCCAGAACCTCTCCTAGGTAGGTCTGCTTTCCACTGGATCATGCTTTCTAGTTGTATTAATGTCCACTAGGTGTTAACAGAAAATACTTTAAAGAGGATAACCTCATCCAGGCATATCTGTAAGTTCTGGAGGTCCTCAAAGACCTTCAACGTCCAAAAAGGATGTAGCTGGTTATGGAATTTCAGACATTCGGACAATTCAATTAAGATTTGGAGCCTGAAAGACTTGCCTTGCACAATTTCCTCATAACTCATAAAGAAACTCCCATTCTTCTCGAATTAAGTTTGTTTTATAAGTTCTTAGACTCCTTCATTATAAGAGAATAACCTAGGGAAGAATATTGTTCCCATGTGTTTTAATATTTGTACATTACTGGGTTGTATTCCAGAGAGAGCTAGAAAATTTATACCCTGCACTTAGGAAATAGTCATACTTGCTTGAACACTAATTACAGGTTAATAGTATCTCTTTTCACTAGCAAAGAACTGCAGAGTCCTTGGAGAGGCTTCCAACCAGTTTTTCAAGTCCACACTACATCACACTGGTATGGTCCCTTATCTCCTTTTTGTTGGTTGTACTGATTTGTGGCCATTTCAATAATAATATTGGTGCCACTTAATCCTTTGCTGGTTCTTTGAATACGTCCAATAATATAACATAGCTCTCTGATTTGAGGCAGAAATAAGACAGGTCCTATTTTTGGCAGGGCTAGGATTAGTTTGAGAAGAGCATGAGAAGTTATGCTTGGTCATGCACAGTCAGATACTACCTTTAGGTAAAATATTGACATTGTGTTCATCATGAACTCTTGGGAATTAATTTTGATTTTTTAAAACAATGCATTAACACATTATTTATCACAATTACTGAGTTTGTTTGTGCCCCTCAAATGGTGCTTTTGAGATGAAAGCCTCACTAACTCTACCCTACCCCCAACCCTGGTTCTCAGGGGTCAAAACCCACTGATGGCTTCCAATGGGACTTTATCAGCCCAAGGGCTTTCCACTGACTGAGGTGTATTCCCTGATCAGTATTAATGAAAGAGAAACACATTAGCCAAATTAGCATGCAAATGCCTTAGAGACTGAGTCAAAAAAAAGAGTTATTACAGGAGCTCTAGGATCTCCTGAACTTCTAGAGTCTCTATATCTGCATCTGTATCTTCAAGGTCTGTAGTAGAGCTGGGCACTGAAATCACCAAGATTCTCAACTATGTATTTTTTTTTAAATCAACAATTCTCATTATGCTTTCTTTATTAATGGCGAAAAGGGTGTGATTAAGATAGATTTCAGTCTGTGGTTCCACAGAATTGTCCCATCACACAAAAGGATCTCAGAGTATGCCCTACAGTTGGGGTGGAGCTGAATAAGAATTTCTCCCCAATATCCACTCAACCAGTACAGTCCATTTTTATATATTGTTTTTACTGGGATTTCAACAGATATGTTTTCTCAATGAAAGCCCTAGTGCTTGAAAAATGTTTAGAAATCTCTTACTAAATACACTGTTGGAGGATCCACCACAAAGTTTACAAAGAAAAATGGTTTCTGATAAGACCTCACTGGCCAGAACCATCCCCCACCCTCTCCCATAGCAATTTACAAACTTTCTTAGATTTTTCATGGATCAAGAAGAGATGGTCTGCATATGTATGTGTTCGTGTGTAAGTGTCTATGCATGATATCTGGTACAGTTCCTGACACAACAAAGTTTATTTATTACAGAAACCTGCAAATAAAGATCCAAGAGGAATCGCTGATCCAAATCAAAGTGCCAAAATGGTAGGTTCCTGTGACAGATGGTACCACCCCCCCACACACACTTTTTAATTTTTCAAATGTTAGCATTCTTTGTGTTCTTTACATACTCATTGAATGAATAGGGACACCCTCTGTACTTATCAGAAGAATAGGATGGTTGGAATTGTTTTCTCTGATATGCTAACATTTCTAACAGATAATTCAGCAGCACGTGTTTCAGCCCCAGCGTTTCTGACCTGACCACAGGAGCAAGCTAGAATTTGATAGCGTCAGAGTCTCAACACATGTTAGACATAAGAAAAACAAGGCTTTTCTTGTCAAGAAAACAACTTTTCTTGCCCAGGGTGTACGCACTTATGGGTTTTCATGAAGGATTCTAAAGAACATAATAGCACTGGTAATTAACGAGAAGGTACATTCCTCATGAACAGTTATTTCATGATGGTTTCATCAAAGTTTCACTTACCCAATCAATAACTAACTGTATCTGAGGGATTATTTCACTCTTGAATTGCTATGGCTATGTTAGAAAACTTATCAAAAAATTGTGATTTTTGTCAAAAGGAGACAAAATGAGCATTGTTTGGCTACATTTCAGAGTTCATTCATCCATTCGTTAATTTCTGTTGAGTTCCTACAATGTACTGGGTTAATGTGAAGCTTCCTCCCACAAAACTTTCTCTGTTGGGATGGGGAAGGAAGGACATTTCTAATGGTCCTTCCTACTCATAATGATGGACCTGCCTCATACTGAAGAGTGGAGAGAGATGCTCCTTAGTGCAAGCAAACTCTTTGACTTCCTGTAATGAAAAACAAAATGATTTTCTTTCTTCTGATAGGCTTGTTCATTTTATAATGACTGTTTAATTAGCCATGTCTAAGGAGATCTGGAAAAATGTGAATAAATGCAGTACAGCAGAATCCAGAAAAGTTACTGTAATTAGCAGATAAAAATGAGTAACTGAAACATAACATGCTTAATAGACTTTAGAGAAAATAACTTCTTTTTAACCATCTGTTTCTATTTAGAGCTTGAAATTGGATATCCAAAATGGCTGTGCAAGGCTAGGTTGAGAATTCTGGCAGAAAGATCTTCACAACCTTCCCTAGATATTTGCTACACAAACCTCTGGCAGTTTTTCAAAAGTTCTTTATCAAGACAGAAAATGTTAACAAGAAACAACTTCTTTCTATAATATTTACCTATAAAATTTACAACCTGTAGTGTAGACATATGCTACAAAAAAATTCTTAAAGTTTTTCCAATGTTTTTTAACCTAATACAAAAATAGTCTCCTTGCTCTAGTGTTTCCCTAAAAAAAAGTCAACCTAGTTACTTTAAAAAGACTCAAAACCTTGAGGATATTAAATTATACCCCCGAGTCTAAGAAGCAAAACATTGCTTATAAAAGGTTATTTCTTTGGGAGCATAAAACTACTTACCCCAATTGGAATCTGACATGATTACCACTAATTCTGGTTTAAAAGAAATTTTCTCCTGCAGAAGTATCAAGAAATTCAATGCAGGAAGTCATCTGATTCCACTAAATAATTAAAAGGTAGATGGCTGTCTGGCTTATGTCCTATCAGTGAAGGAGGCAGAATAGTCATCTTAACTTTAGAGTAGTTCTTAAAATTGTCGTGGCAGCAAAGGAAGACATGAAGTGCTCCTGGTTAAATTCCTGGACTCTAATTCTAAACTCTCAAATTTCTAGAATTCCTTATGAACCTGACAGAAGTCAGGGAATTATAAGAATTTCAGAAAATTAACTCCATCAGAGAAGAAATACTCACAATTCCTGTGAAGTGCTTGTGATATCTTTATAATACACAGATTTGAGCACTTACTGTGTAATTTCTGTGCCATCTCTACCCCTCCCTGATGATGATGTATGGGGCTTGCCCAGAAATAATTTCAGCTGTTTCTTACAAAAATGTTTCCCAACATGTTCTCTTGTGTTCTATGTTTTCTTTTTGTTACCTCTTAAAGCTATATGCAATTGTTTTTTTCATTTACTGAAATGAAGTTTTCAAGTGTGAAATGAGAATTTTCTGATTCAATAAATAAAGGCTGCAAATCAAGGAAGAAAGCTGGTTGTTCTTGATGAAACTCTTCTTGCTATTTTGACTAGTTGATGGGAGGACAGAGTGAGATCGGCAAAGGACAGCAGGGACTCAGCACTTTATTTATTTGAGAGAGAAAGTGTGTGTGCAAGAACAGTGAGAGTTAGAGGAAGAGGGAGAGAGAGAGAGTCTCAAGCAGGCTTGAAGCCCAGCATGGAGCCTGACTCGGGGCTCAGTCTCACGACCCTGAGATCACGACCTGAGCCAAAATCAAGAGTTGGACGCTTAACAGACTGAGCCACCCAGGCGCCCCTAGTGAGCTTTTAATAAACATTTATTGTTCTAATTAAAGCCATCCGTTTAAGAAAGAATATTGGCGATTGCATACTGAAAGTGAAAGAAGCTAATTTAAATGTTTCATGCAAGTTTGTGAAAAAAAGAAATTCTGTGTCACATATATTGGCCTCATGAAAGCAAACAATAGTCCTCCAATGTCCTAAATGGACAGTCACATATTTGTATTTGCTTGAACAATACATATGTTGATGAATAATATATATTTTGGTGATATGTTATTCCCCCTATAAAAGGATCAGCTTCTTGATTCATTATTTTTCTTACTGTTCTCATATTTCTTCCAAAAGACTCACCATCCCCTTTGCCTTGAGTTCCACATTCAGCCAACTACTAATTTCTAGTGATTTGATTTTTTTTCAAATTTCTTCTCTCTCTCCAATTATGTCTGGTACCACCTGAGTCCTCCGGCTTCATTGCTTCCTGCCTAGATAATCACTCTGGATTTCCAATCTTCTCCTCTGTTCTTCAGATAATCCCAGAAGCCTTCTGACAGTTAAGCTCCTTTTTTATTTTAGGGAATATTCTCCATGCTTGCCCCTATTACTTATCTGAGCCCCTGGAGACTTGACCTACACTTCTTTCAGATGCTACTACTATGTGTTCTATTTCTTAGGGATCTTCTCCTTTCAATACCGTCTGCAGATTAGGAAGCATCTTCATGGTTTCTCCCTACTAGTGGTCCCTTGTAGGTCCAATGCCATCCCTGGTTATGGAGCCAATTATGATTTGAATTATGATATTAGCCCTAATATTTCTGGCTTTTGTCACCTCTGAGAGTTTGAGTCCTTTCCTTTGAATGAAGAGTTGCGGACATAACTCGTGTTGTGAATGGACGGACCCACTGGACCTACAGTCTAAGGACCTCTGTCTTCCTCCTCAGCCCTGTGAGCTTCTTGCTGCCCACCCCATACACAGAGAACCCTTCCTGATGCTGGAACTTGCCTCAGTGAAGACTGAGCTTGTTAAAGCTCTGGGATGTTATGCTTGAGGGTAGTGAGTTACTCTCTGCATCTGGGTCACTCTATCCTCTGCCCTGGATGAGGTGGATTTATCTGGAAACTAATGAAGCTTGAGTTTCAGAGACATGTACTGCCCCTTTTAAGACCTTTTATCTAATTTTGTATTAACATTTTTTAATGATAGTGGGCTGGCTGGTTTGGGCTGGGAAAAAAGACCTCAGATGATTTATCAGCAATAGTGACTATACCTAAAGGGCAATTAGGACAAAGATGCCCCTGGGCTGGGCTGGGATGGTGATGCCAGCAAGGGCAAGGAGAGGACCAGCCAGAAATGGGGGAATGAGAGCACATGGCAGGTGTGAGGAGCTCTCCACAAACCCCAGGCTAAGTAGAGAAAGGCTGGCGTGGGGGTGAGTCCCCAGAGAGCACCACTGAGAGGAAAATCCAAAATCCAAGAGAGGAGTGAAAACGGACTGAACTTTGGCTATGTTCCCCAACCCATTCACAGATCATGACTGAGGACCCAAGCTCTACTGGTTCACAGAATTTGAGCAAGACCTCTGCCCGAATCACTGAGCACTGAGTGAGGCAAAACCAGCGCAAGCCATAGAAAAGCAGCATAAAATACAAAAATAAGAATTAAGCCTGAGCAGAGATATTAGCAGCTGTACATTGCTGGGGGCGGAGGGTGGACAATAGATTCTGCAGTTTAAGTTTGGACAAGTCCTTTTAAACACTCAGAAAAATCGGAATTCATATTTATTGCAATATATTACCTAGATACTATGCAAAGGAATCTCAAATATATGTTTATGTCAGTTCTGCCAGGAATGCAGCGATGGCGATCCAAAACCAAACCAAACCTAACCAGCATTCCCCATACAGCATCCATTATTCTAAATACCAACCAGGCCCGCTCAACCACGTTGCCTTTTTCTTAAGGCATCTGTGCTGCCAAATGATTATAGAATTTAAAATGTGCTTGGGATGTGCTAAAATTGGGAAGTCGTATTCTTAAAAAAAAACAAAAACAAAAACAAAAAACCGGTGATCACTTCCCTATCCGGGCGCAAATGTGTGGCGGGGCAGTCAGCACCCCACAACCCATCGATGAAGTTCCTAGAACGACCACTAGGTGGCCATAGAGCAAACTAAATCTCCTGTGAGCCCGAAACCGACCCAAGGTTTCACACACTAGACCAGCAAAATCCTGACTTGAAATAAACTTACTAAGAAGTTTGTTAAACTCTGTTCTTGGTTATTAAAGACGTAACTCTGAGAGAGTTTTGCCAGATGCCACTTTTTTTCCTCGCCAGGGTTGTGGGTTGAGGTGGAAAAACAGAGACGGAGCCTCTGAACAAAGGGAAGCTGGGCTACAGCCTGAAAAGTTGGAATGGGGATTTTAAATTGGGAAGGTAAATCTTACTCGTTCTCAGTTCTGAAGTCCAGTCGTCTTCAAGTTAACATTTCAATAGCCCCTAAAAACCCAGTCTTCTGAAAACTACTGTGGGGGTCTACTTTGGTTTTCGTTTTTTACCACCTGTTCGTTTATTTATTTAGTTTTTCAAAGCCAGCAAATTAGCCGCTGTTGCCTTGGAAGCGGGAAGAGCTCCCCCTTTCCCCAGGGATGAGTAATGGATA